TTCACAATGTTCTTAGAGAATGTGTCAGAACAGATAAGATTAAAGACATGAGATGGATCACAGAAAAAAATGGAAATTTCAGCATGTTTGAAATTATTAAATTGTAAGGCAAGCAAATTATGCAGCTGGGAGTTCAAAATACTAACCAAAAGGGACAGGAAAATTAATAATACACATACATTAGTATTCATAATGACTGGGTAATGCAGTGGATGACAAATGGCCACAAACCTGTCATAGGCCATCACAATCAGAAGCATGTCATCCATACTTCCAAAAATGATATAAATAGACATCTGCATTAGGCAGCCCACACACGATATGACCCTACTGTGAATTTGGATGTCCAAAATCAGGTTTGGCACTGTGGTGATGAAACAGATGTCAGCCAAAGTCAGGCTGTAGAGGAAGAAATACATGGGGGTGTGGAGGTGTGAGTCACAGCCGATTGCCAACATAATGAACAGGTTCCCAAGCACTGTGACCAAGTACATGGACAGAAACAGTCCAAAGAGGACAGGTTGCAGTTCTGGAACTTCCAAGAGACCCAAGAGGTGAAATTCAGAGACAGGTGTTATATTTTTTCCTTCTATATTGCTTGAACACCTTTTTAAAGAGAAAAAAAGTAAACAGGCTTCAGCATTCTGTTTATATTTTATATTCTTATACTCTCAAGCCAAGTCTGAATACTTGATGAATTTAAGAAGATTCCAATGTATTCAATTTTATATAAAACCAAAATAAAATATCCTTATACTTTGAATAATCCTAAAAACTGTAAAAGTTCTAGGACTGGATAACCTGAATAGTAAATGAAAATTGATCATTTAAGAACATATTTATGTCCTGGTTTTCCTGCAGGGCTTTCTATTTATTGTTTTTGTGTTTCTGTTTTCCATTTTTATTTTAATTTAAAATACTTATTGTCCTTTATATTGCACAGAAAGGTTTCATTGAGATACTTCCATGTATGCTTATTAAGGATTTTGGTTACATTCACCCACTATCATCTTCCTCTTACCTACCTAAAATGATTTCAACAAATTTCATTTCTCTCTTTTTATGTAATCATATTATATACATTGAGCCTATTTATAATCCTTTATAACATTAGGTGTTCATTCAAGTTTTATTTGACTTTTAATTAGTATTTTATATCTATTCTTATTCTTGGCTTTGCTGACTTCTATATTTTATGGATAGTATTCATTTTAATGCCCCTGATCATGACACCAGTTGGAACAAATGTGCTTTTTGTTTACACTGCAAAATTTAGTGAATGAAAATCAAGTTGAAGAACATTTAAATGTTTTAAATAGATACATAGTCAATTATATATAAAGTCAGTGAAAATGGACATGGGCTTTTAATTTTTCTTGATTCTATTTTCTGTAGTAATATTGTAAGGCTCATTCATTGTTTATCTGATCACAAACCATCTCATTGACACTGGAGGACTTTGGCACAATGGACAGATCCAAATCCATGATTTGGGACCTAAACTTCATATCTCTAGTTAAGAGTCTTTCTTATTTTTGTTAGTACATACCAAGTATACAGAACAAGTGGATGCAATGTGGTATTTTTATACATTCATATAACACAGTTTGATCATATTCATGTTCACCCCCAATTATCCTGCCTTGTATTTTGCTCTCCTCTAGAACTTTTCTCCTTATTCTTCTCTAATAGTCTTTCTCAAGGTTTATGTAATCTATTATCTGCATACCATATAGTAGAAAAAAAGATGAGATAGTTTTCTTTCTGAGTCTGGCTTATTTTTCTTAACATAACGATCTCAAGTTCTATCCACTTTACTTCAAACTGCATGATTTTATTTCTTCTTCATTGTTGAATAATACCCCATTGTGCAAATATACAAGTTTTCTTTTATCCATTTGTCAGTTCATGAACAAAAATTCTAACAGCTTACATATGTTGAATAGGGTTCGAATAAAAGTGAGTTTGTAGCTATATGAATAGAGATGACTTTGATTTAGTGGGACAGATATTTAGAAGCAGCAAAATTTTATTTTATTTGTATTCTACTTTTAAGTTTTTTGAGGAATCTCCATATTTACTTTCATAGTAGATGGAAAATATTTTGCTCCTCCTGCCATGAGTAGGGGTTCATTTTTCCCTCCTACCAATAGTATTTATTATCTTTTTTATTTGTGATAATAACTTGATTTGTGTGAGAGGCAATCTCAATGGAATTTTGGTTTGCTAAGGATATTGGATAGTTTTTCTCATATAAATACATGGCACTTGTTCTTTCATGCCAAATTTTCCTCGTGCATGCATATGGTTCTCCTTTTTCAACCACATAAAGTCAACTTAAGTTAAACATTTTTCTAGCTCTAAATCAGATATAATTTGGAAGCAATGATAAAGAGAAAAACACAGGAAATTATTTAAACATACCTAGAAGTTCATCATTTGCAATTTGACACACAAGATTATTTACCTATACTATGTAGATATCTTAACAAATTTTAAAGGAATTATAGTGATTGGAGCACAGTTCAGTAGTAGAGCTCTTACATAGAAATTGTGAGGCCCTGTGTTTGATCATCATCACTGAAAATAAACTTCTAATGATATGACAAGTGGTTTTCCATCTCATTTATCAAAATATTTATCTGAGGATATTTTTAAATAATCAGGTATCTTGGCCTAAGACCCTAAGTAATATAATCAACATATCTGGATGTGAAGTTCTCTATTATACTGCAGTTAAGAAACATAAATATTTTTGCACTAAACCATGGTTCATTAATATGACATTTTTTTGTAGTAGTGGGGATTGATCCCATGGCCTTATGCATTATAGGCAAATGCTATGCTGCTTGAGCTATGCTAGGTTCAATCCCTGTTGTTTATAATTTGTTTTTGTGCTTGAGTCTTGCTAACTTTTCCTGGGCTGGCCTTGAAATTACAATCCTCCTGCCACCTCTTCCTGAGTAACTAGGATTACATATTAGCACTGCCATGCCTGGTTTCTCACATAGCCTTATATTAGTGTTAACTAATTTCATACCAATTTTAAAATACAAGCATTTAATAATTGCTTTATCACCTAACACTCATTAAAATAGTACTAAATAGTACTAAACACCTATTGTCCATGAATTTCACTCTCTCAGGAAAATACATAAAGTTACTTCAAATGATTTATTTGATGGACATAATTACCTGAAGTAGGTATATGATTTTACTTGCTACTTTACTATTAGAACAATACTTTAAAATTTATTGCGCCTCCCACCATATTATATAATTCAAAATTTCCTTAGTTTATTTCAGGTGAAAATGTTATTTGATTTCCCCAAATTAATATATACTCAATTTATAACTAAAGCACATTTTATTCAAATAAATACATATCATTAAGTATATCTTTTTGTTCTTAACATGCACCATCAAAATACTGCAGTACATCTGACAATGAGCCATTCAGGAGAGCTCATAATGAAATTTCTTATAGAAGTTGAAGTAATACTTCCTTTTCCTTTAGTAGAGGATTGTCGTCAGCATAACATTTTGGTCTTGACATCACTGACATGATACCATATGGAAAATGTAGGTAAATATCTCTATGTCTCTGAGCTCATATGCATAGATTATAATATGGAGAAGTACACAAATCTCCACATAATGTATAGCAGGTAATATAGGTTTAAAAACTTATAAATATTCATTTTTGTTTTAATAATTAGTATATATTCATTATAGAAAATAGTGAATTGATTTTTGAAACTGTTTAAGTCATCTTAAGTAGGGGAACGTGGGAAGATGGGCAATAATGGTGAGGATGACCTTAACCTAGCTACACTGTAAACATATATGGAAATGTTTAAATGAAACATGTTGTACAACTAATATATAGTAATAAACATTTGAAAAGAACATTATACCAAACATCAAATAAAAATGCAAGCTTTTCTTCATTGACAAGGACACATTCTCTGGCATGAATGACACTCACATTTGGTGTCTCCATCACGAATATGCATTTCAATAAAGTTCGCTTCTTCACACACTACAAATTGATGCATCATTAAATAAAAAGACTTCCAACTTCTGACTCCTGATTCTGGCTACCACCATTCTACTCTAAAACAGATTGAAAAATTAAAGTCATTAAACTAGAAAATGTGATCAAAGAGATAGTATTATAGGTGCAGATGTTTACATTGCTGTATTTCCATCTTACAATGGTAGTGAATGCCACAGGTCCTAAAAGTTGACTGATCTGCTACACAGCTTCTTAAGGGAATTGTTAAAATTCCTGCTCCTCATTCAGAAGATAAAATTCTTCAGTATAAGGGTGATCTCACACTGGCATGATTGCGGCCACCAAATCATTTCTTAGAGATTGCAGTGTTAGAAACAAGAACCACGCAAATTCTTGTTCGATAAAAAAACCATGGAATTTACAAGTTGAATCCATAGAGGTACACACTATGACACATCCTTTCCCACAGCATGAGATTCTAAGAAAATATGGAATAACACTGTGGTAATAAAAATGTACCACTATAATGAGAAGAGATATTATGCCAGCAAAATTCTTGACAATTTAATGAAGAAGATGTCAGAAGAAAGATTAAGGGACTCCAAGGGAAATAAGAAGTAATTATAAATTTCCATATCCTTGAAGTAATTAAAATGTAAGGAAATAGGTCGAGGTGGGCGGGACCGCGTGCCGCGCAGACGCCGGCCAGGCTGGGCATTAGGGTCTCGGCAGAGCCCGCCTCGCAGCGCGCTGGGCGGGGTGCACGGCGAGCGGCTTCGCGGGCAGGCGCGGGCCCAGAGGCAGCGGCTGCGCCCTGGGCTGGGGCGGTGCCGGGGGCGGGCGGCCGGCAGGCAGGGCTGGGGCTCGAGCCTGGAGTGCTAGGGCGGCGGCGGCGGCGGCGGCGGCGACGATGATGGCAGCGGCGGCCCAGCAAGCTCGGAGCGTGGGTCCCCGGCGGCTGGGGGCCCGTCCGCGGGCTACGGTGCGTGCGGGCGGCCCGGCTCCCCTCCTCCCTCGCCCGCTGCCGCCGTGATTGGGTGGAAGATGGCGCTGGGCGGATGGAAATCCTAATGACAGTCTCCAAATTCGCCTCCATCTGTACCAAGGGCGCCAATGACTCGGCATTAGAGAAAGAGATTGATCCAGAACAGTTTCCAGTCAAGAGCACTATTTTGGATTGTTAACTTGGGAAATACCTGATACTGCAATTCAGTTCTTCAAGCACTTTATCTTTGTTGTCCGTTTCGGGAAAAAGTCAAGCATACAAGAGTCAGCCTAGGAAGAAGGAGAACCTCCTTAAGTGCTTAGCTGATCTCTTCCACAGTATAGCCACCCAGAAGAAGAAGGTTGGAGTGATACCCCCTAAGAAGCTCATCGAGAGACTGCGGAAAGAAAATGAGCTTTTTGACACGTACATGCAACAAGATGCTCATGAATTCTTAAATTACCTATTAAATACAATTGCTGATACTTTACAAGAAGAGAGAAAGCAAGAAAAACAAAATGGTCGCTTACCTAATGGTAATGTTGATAGTGAAAATAACAACAGCACACCAGACCCAACGTGGGTTCATGAGATTTTTCAGGGAACATTAACAAATGAAACCAGATGTCTTACTTGTGAAACCATAAGCAGCAAAGATGAAGATTTTTTAGATCTTTCTGTTGATGTGGAACAAAACACATCAATTACTCACTGCTTAAGGGGTTTTAGCAACACAGAAACTCTATGCAGTGAATATAAATATTACTGTGAAAAGTGTCACAGCAAGCAGGAAGCACACAAACGGATGAAAGTTAAGAAACTGCCCATAATTCTAGCTCTACACTTGAAGAGATTTAAATACATGGATCAACTTCATCGATGTACAAGACTTTCTTATTGGGTAGTTTTTCCTTTAGAACTCGGTCTCTTTAACACTTCAGGAGATGCAACCAATTCTGACAGAATGTATGATCTTGTTGCTGTTGTGGTTCACTGTGGAAGTGGTCCCAATCGAGGCCATTATATTGCAATAGTTAAGAGTCATGATTTTTGGTTGCTGTTTGATGATGACATCGTAGAAAAAATAGATGCACAAGCTATTGAAGAATTCTTCCTGTTGACATCAGGTATCTCAAAGAACTCTGAGTCTGGTTACATCCTTTTCTATCAGTCTCGGGACTGAGGGGGAACCATGATGAAGAGATACTTTCTGCCTCATATCTTCTCTGGTTACTTTGGAAGGATCAAGCACTGATTTTTCATGAAAAGAGAAATGCAGGAAGCTCAGGGGGCAGTAGCACACTTTGCACACAGTAAAGCAAAGACTATGGATTCATGAGCCCTTGCTATCATGCTAGTCGATTTATTTGCTCAGGTATCATGCTGTATGTTCCATACAACAAGGAAATGAAATCAGAGATACGAGCTCCTCTTGTAAACAGCCTTCCAGTTACTGGCACATGTTTTCTCTTTAGTAATTGCACCAATAATGAATTGAATTCCTTGGGAGGACAGTAGAAAGAATTGGAATCTCTGCTGGATTGAATGATCATTTAAGGAGATGACCCTGAATGCACTGCATACATTGCCTATGTTCAGCATATGTAGCAGCATATTCAGTGGTCTTTTTCAAGTATAAACCAGAAGGACTTTTGGGCCCATCACTTGCGGTTGCCTTCCTTATGTCAAAAACTAACAAATACTAGGATTTAGTGTCAGGAAGACAAATATGTTTTGCTTCTCTAAAGAAGCTTATAATAATATACAGTATACGTATATGTCGGAAACAATTGGTCAAAGGTGGCTTTTTATTTCCCCAAGGGGAAAGACTGGCTTTGTAACTATAATTTTTCCTTATTTATTTTACTGAAAACTGGTAAAGTCTAAGTATTGTATGAAGTGCCCATGATTATGTCAGCAAATTTTAGCATTTTGTTTTTATTAGTTTTGTTAGTTTTAAGTAGTCCTTTTGTTTCTATTTTAAGATGAATTTTAAATTCTATCTGAAATCACTAAGATAACCATGAGAAAAATTGTTACAAGAGGAGGTAAATATTCTTTTTCATGAGGAACTGATATCTCTGGCTAAATATTTGTTCTTTTGTAATATTTTGTAAGTCAGTTATCCAAATGTCCTGTAATTTCAAGCTCTAGTTGTACAGCTTTGTGTGCAGAAAAAAAGGGTAATGTGAAGCAGAGTTAGTTTTAATATCAGCTTGGCTATAGAATGTGTAAGAAAGATGAAGTCATTTGCATAAAGGTACAGCATTGAAATACTATGATTTTGCATTTTTAAAAAAATATGCAGAAAAGCCACATGGAATTTCATATTAGAGCAAGTTCTTGTATTGGTATTGAGTTCACATAGTTGCACAATGTGCACATTCATATGTATTTCATAGTATGACTTGTCAGGGGAGGGACTATGGGGTGATGGTTCAAAATTCACTTTTTACTCTTCATGCATCTGGATCGAAGTGAAACATTTTGAATTTTATCAGAATCTCAATATACTTTTAAAACACACAGGGTTAGGGTTGGGAGAAAAGTAAGGTACAGTAAGAAAAGTGACTCATCTAGGAAGCATTGTGAGGCTGTTTAGGGGCTGGCTGGGATTGTAGTGAGAGGCAGGTTCAGTCATAAATGGGGCTGCTTGCTGTATAAACATGTACATGTTTGTTGGGATAGCTGTCCCATATTTTGTATATTGGAATAAAAGTTTCTATGAATTTTCGTAACTAAAAGTAAATATTCTAAATCAAATCCCACGTCTAAGTCACATGGCTTTTCTGTCTTGGAAATGTTACCTTTGGAAGATGAAGACAGGAGGCAAGAGGCTTTAGAAAAGGGAAGGAAGCAAGTATACTGTGTGAGTCTTGTGGCCTCAGCCATCAGTGTAGGGTTTTTTCTTTCTTTGATGCCAATTAAAAGGACCTCATTTTCATAACATACTACTCTTGATACTTTCTTTAAAAATACTTTTCATAAAAGAGTCTCTCATGAGGTATTTGGCTGGGAGCTGGGAGGCTAAGGTGCTTGAGTGCTGTCTCGTCAGTGAACTTAACCATGTGACCTTGGGCAGGTCACTTAACCTCTCTGTGCTTCAGTCTCCCTGTCTTGTAAAATGGGAGTAATACCTACCTCACAGGGTTGTTGTGGGGATTAATTAGAGATAATGTCTGTAAAGCATTTAAAGTTCTTGAAGAAGGCACTATATGAATACAAAATAATATCTATTAAAGTTGGTTTATTTGTGAAAAAAAAGGAAAAAAAATGTAGCTGGACTACACAAATTACACCAACCTAACATGCCACAATTACGCAGGTTTATAGTGGGTATTAAGCAATCACAATTAAAAGTACATTATCCATATACAGGCAATAAAGATAAGACACCTTTCTGACAGGCATAGCCCATATCATTCCTGACCCTACTGTGAATTTGCATATTCACAACAATCTTTGATACCATAGTAGAAATTGTGGAAATGTCAAACAAGAACATGCTTCAGAAGACAAAGTGTATGGAAGAATGAATATTTGAGGCCGAGATGACCAGGTTGATGTGCAGGCTCCTGAGCACAGTGCTTAAGTATATGGACAGAAAGTGTTTCCCAGAGAATGAGTTGGAATTTTAAGATATTTGTTAGGTTATGTATTTCTACACTGTTAAGAAGCCTTCTGAAATAGAAAGCAGGAAGAGCAGGGAATAAATAAATGGGAAACAACCACTCACTATACTGTTTGTTCTCAAACATTTGAAAGTAAAGTATTCGCTAGAGTCCCACACTTCAAAAACAGATGTGGACATGTTTATACATGTCTGTAATTCCAGCTATGTGGAAGACTAAGATGGGAGAATCACCATCAAAGACTGACCCAGATGTAAGAGCCTAACTGAAAAATAAACTAAAGCAAAAAGTCTTGGGGATGTGACTCAAGTATGGAAGCACTTTTCTTTCAAGTTCAAGGTCCTAAGTTCCATACCCAGTACTGCATATGTGTGTGTGTGTTTGTTCAAACCCGAGTACTGTGTGTGTGTATGTGTTTATCTCATGTTTGACAAACCCATTCTATCTAGGACTCTCATATTACTTGGTTACTTGGTTTTGTCTAAATCAACATTTTATATGCCCCTCCACCTTGGAAATACTCACCTGATCTGTTAGTAGAACAGAAATAGTAGAGATAACCAGTACTTGATTATGGTAAACTACAGCATACTCTGGAAAGAAAAAGAGTGAATTGGTAAAATAGACTTTCTCTTTACAAAGAGAAATTTTTAATTTTAAAAAATTAAAATTAAATTAGAATTACATTCTAATTTAAGTATATCAAGGAACAATCAAATGTATCTATGTCATTCAGTGACAATCACACAAATTACTTTTGCATACAATGCTTAAAACACTACATAGGAGAAAAGAATAAATTATCTGAATGCCAAATGAAAGTCAATGATATGTAATCAGAAAATGTATGTGCCAGTTAGTTATGTTTACCAAGTTTCCTTATTCTTTGAATTTATGATTTTCCCTTGAATTTATTAAATTTAAGTGCTCCCTCAAAGGTTACTTGTCTTTAGAAAAATCACACAATATATACAATTTAAACTCAGGTCCAGTGGCTTTCATATTTTATAAATATGAAATCAATGACATCATTATACTAGTTACTTTTTTATTTGCTATGACAGAATGCCTAACATTACAACTTAAGGGAGAAAGGATTTATTTTAGCTCACAGTTTCTGAGGGTTTTGGCAGTGGTTGCTTGGCCCAAGGACTTAGGCAAGGTTCATTACTGCAAGGGCATGGTGGAGGACCTTCATTATAGTGGAGAAGTAACAGAGAAAAGGGAATATGGAAAGTATAAAAAGAATTATGTAGACCCCAGTGACATGCCCTTTGATGGAGTTTCTTCAGCTAGGCCACACCTCCTACATTTACCTCTTACTAATAATGCTGTCATATTATGAATTCATCAAGATATTAATCCATTCATACAGAAAGTTATAACTTTTATAATCTATATATAGTGGTCTAAAGAAAGACCACCACAGATACACCCAGAAATATATTGTACCAATCTCATAGACATTTCTTAATTTAATCAAGATGACAATCATAACTAACCAACAAAATCCACACTTGGTCAATTTGATACTCAGATCTTAGCTCTAACATTCTAAGGCTGGACCCCAAAACACTCATGTCCATCTCATAAAACAAAGTGTATGAAGTCCATATCCAAGAGTCTCTTTTGTGTTATGATTTCCAACACTATTCAAATTTTTAAATCAGTTACTTTCCTGATATTCAACCAAAACTCTTAACTGGGTGTACCTGTAAAAATCAAAAGTGAGTTATATACCACCAATGTGCAATGGCACAGAATAAATACTCCTATTCAAAATGGGAGATGCAGGTGACTTACAAAGGCAAGTGAGTACCACAATAGATATTCTCTATACAAGAATGAATATAGAATTTTTAAAGCTGTTGAAATTATCATAAGAAGGGGACTAAGATAGAAGAAAAATAGAGGAGATGAACCAGTTCAGGTTATGATTTATATATTCATGCAAATGTCATAAGGAAAGTCCCTGGATAGTTATCTTAAACAAATAAAAATGTCATTTTTTTCTTCCAGAAAATCGGAGAACAGGAGGATGGAACTGTTCCTGTCTGGAGAGGAGTGTTAGTACTAGTGAGAGGGGGAGGATGTAGGAAAGGGTGTAAGAGAGTCAACATAGTGCAAATATTATGTACACACGTGTATACATGGAACAATGAGACCTGTTGAATCTATTCCAGAAATAAGGGGGTTAATGCATAATTGTGGAATGGTAGAATTCAAATATGTTGTATTTGATATTTTGTAGGAATTTTTGTAAATGCCACAATGAACCTCCAGCAAAACAATAAAAAAAGAAGAAAAATGTACAGTTAGAGACCAGGGAAAACATTGAAATACTATCTATCTAATAAAAATGGCAGAGAAAGGGGAGAACCTTTCCAATAGAGTAGCAAACAAGAGAATAGAAAGGCCACCTCAGGAGATGCCACAAGCACACCAACTGGAAATCTGCAGAAATGAAGTTTAAGCTTCAGGTGCACCAAGAAAACCCCACAGAAGTGGTTCCTTACCCATCCTGATTCACTCACCAGTCTTATGGAATTAG